CACACGCAGTTAAGCAGTACATGGGCTGGACATGCGGACGGAGCGAGCCCACACACTCAGCCGGTTCGTCAACTCATCGTACGCGTAGTTATAGCCTTGAACGCACGTCTGTTCGCTTTCCTAATTCCCTTCCGAGATCCAATCGCTAGTTCGCGACCCCCAGATCTGATCGGGAGCCGCCGTTTTACCGGCGAACTTGGTTCTCCAATCTCCACTTGAGAAGTCATCCATACCGTGCCATCGCCGAGCGTACCATACTGACACACCCATGTACATCACGTTGCCGGTGCAAGTGTACTTCGCATCATCGCCGAGCGCCCATGCCATCCCTGACGTTGATCCAACTGATTTGAGGTAAACCATATTATTATTTCCCTATCAACTAAGTAAGTAATTTTTCCTTGCAAATATGACACTTAGCTTTTACACTGTTAAACTTATGATTTACATTTTTCTTCTTTCAACAACGTGTTTGTGGGTATAAACTATTTCCTATAAATATTGGTTTTGAATTGATTCAGGCATATATACACGCACTAGCAAATTGTGTGTGCATTGCAACAAATCCAAAAAAAACTGGTACTAAACTTGAAAAAAATCACCCTGTTAATAATATGTATCACTAAAAAATATGTTAGAATTCATCCAAACTATATCCCTCTTATTTGTTTGGACGATGTGGGGAAGGGTTCGGGCGTTTGGAGAGACTAAGGGATTTTCTGCAAACAAGGTTTGGAGTAGTGGAGGCCTCTTTTCAAAAACATAACCTACCTCGCATGTGTTAGATGCAGATCAATGATAAAAAATAGATGATGACACACACACCACCATCATGAACTGAGTCTTTTATAGTAGATATTTTGGTTATTATTTTTAGGGATGGTTATACTTAGGGGCCCCGAGTTTTGGCTTCGCCCCGGGCCCCCAAAATCTCCGGACCGGCCCTGTGTCCACGTGATCACAATGCATTCGACGCGGTAAATTCCAAGGCTATGAGTCTGCCAGTGCATGTCACACTTTTAATTATGTTGCGCAAGGGAACGTTTAAAACTTTAAAAGCAAATCTCATTGAGCACGAACTACTCGCAACGCCAAGACATATAAAGACTTTCGACAAACTAATCAAATCCTAGACATAAAATACTTTTGAACCAGTGAACAGTCTTTCAAACAATCTTTTTAAAAAATTGATTTTCTCAAAAAAAAAATCATGAACATTAGTTTTGTTTACAATCTTTCTAAATGTATGAACCAATTTCGAACTCATTAAATGTTTTTGTCTCAACAAACATTTTTTTAATTGATGAACTTTTTCTAAAAATTGGGGAACAAATTAAAAAAACAAATATTTATTTTTATTTTTGTGAACAAATTTGAAAATGTCATGGAATTTGTTTTTCAGATTCCCGGGTATGTTTTGAATACACGACCATTTTTTTCAAAATTATGAACATGATTTTATTTTCCGACCATTTTTTCCACATTGTGATTTTTTTATAATTTTGCGAATAGTTTTACAAAACCACCAACATTTTTGAATCTGCAAAAAAATTATGATTTTCTAAACAATTTTGTATTCACGTATTTTTAGATTTCTGAAACATTTTTTTAACTCGCAACTTTTAGAATATTAAAATCCCCAATTAATTTAAAGAAGAAAGAAGAAAGAAAAAAGAATGAGAAAATAAAAGACAAAAATTAAAATTGAAAAAAAAACAGGGGAGTGAAGCCCCGCCATGGGCCGGCCGATGAACACATATATGGGTACGACATGGGTGAGAAAAAAAATCTAAAAATTGTGGACGTTGGGGATCGAACCCAGGTCTCGTCGCTAGAGGAGGGATAGGCCGACCACTCTGAAAAAATAGTACCACCTTGGATAAAAAAAAATTCTCAAAAGTATAATATTGATGAACGGATGAAAAAATTAGAGAAACACACCTTGCTTTATTA